ACGTCAAGCGGGGGGCCGCCCTTGCCAGGCACCTTGTTGGCTGCCAGAGCGCGCGCTGCCTCACGCATCTTGGCCAGGTCAGGCGGTGGAGGTGCTGCCGAAGATCCGCTGGCAGCCTGACCAGTGCCGGCAGTAGATCCCGTCGACGGAGCCGAAGGAGCCGACGTCGGAGCTGGCTGAGCTGCTGGTTCAGCTTGGGCTGCCTGTCCAGGAGAGGGTGCGCCATCAGCAGGTTGCCCTTGCCCATCAGCTTCAGCAGCATGAGCTCCGTCCTCACCTCGACGACGCTTGGCCTTGAGGCGCTGGGTCTGCTCAACGTGCGCCGCCTTGGCTGCCTGCACCGACTCCATCGCCTTGGCGAAAAGGTCCTTGGCCATGGTGTTGAAACCGCTGACCAGCTGCTCCTTCCGCCTGTTGACCTCCACAATGTCCGACTCCTCGAGCGTGCCGACCTCGGGGTCGATGTCCAGCAGGTCGCCGACGTCCAGCTCGAAGGCGTCGATCTTGCCTGCCAGGAGCTCGGAGAGCGACACGACAGGTTTGCTGGCGTCGGGGTGCTGCTTGCGCAGCGAGTGTACCTTCTCCGAGAGCTCGTCGTGCTTGGCGTCCAGGCCGTCCATCTCCTTGTTGATCTGGACGACGAGGGACTCCTGAGCGGCGACTTTGAGGCGAAGCTCCTCGAGATTGCCGAACTCCCAAGACAACTTCTTCCCCAGTTTGAGCCGCTCGCGCTGGCAACGTGCGAGCTGTTCTTCAAGTGACTCCTCAGCCTTGGGCGGTTTCTTGAGCGCAGCCAGCTGTACTTGGTAGCGGTTGGCCTCCGTCGTGTTGCCCACCTTGCGGAAAAGCTCGACGAAGGTCTCCAGCTCTTGAACCGAAAGCTGGGTGACGTTGGGAGGAGGGCCAGGCTGAACCACTCCTCCTTGCGGACCTGGGACCAGGGCGGGGGTGTAGAAGTAGCCAGGTGGTGTCCACACAGCGCCTCCGTGCCCCTTGCCCTTGCCCTTGGACGGCTTACCTCCGCCCTTGTGCGCGCCCTTGCCGTTGCCGCCGCCCTGGAAGCCCTGATACTGCAGCCCTGGCGAGAGAGCGGGTAGCAGGCCTCCAACAGCAGCGTTCTGAGCCCAAACACCAGCAGGAGGAGAGGGATCAGCAACTTTCGGGGCGTTCCAGGCCGTGCCGCAGTGCTTGCAGACGTGGCTCGCCATCTTGTTCTTGGCGCAGCCGCATGAGCTGCACTTCCATGTATTGCTTCGCTGGAACGGTGGGCCTTGGCGCCAAGGGGAGTCTGCGAAGGCATCTCCCGCGGGCCCTGGGCTCATCTGCGGCCGAGCGATGGGGATGCGGCCCCTCGGCCTGAGTGAAAAGCTGAGGATCGATTGCCGTGAAGCCAGAGGCCCGCAACAGCAATGCCGTTCTGAAACACGCGGTTGCAAGTCCAGGCACAACACCTGGGCCAGAACGGCTGCGGGAGGAGGAGGAGGAGGAGGAGGAGGAGGAGGAGGACCCTCCTACGAGGGATCCTTCTGTGGACGCTGTCCCCTTGCCAGGGCTTCCTCCGTTCACGCTGTCTCCAAGGTGGGGGACAACGTGCAATACAGTCGAAGTACTACCAGAAATAACCGTAAAACAAGAACGAAGTCCGGGACAAAAACCGCTAAAGAGCGTTAAAGGACCAACGGTAAAGAACGCTAAAGAACATCAAGAACGTTAAGAACGTCAAAGAACGCTAAAGAACTATAATTAACTTTAAAGAACGCTGAAGACCGTTAAGGAACGTTAAAAAGGAACGTGCGCAGAGGAACGTTACAAAAAGGAATGCTAAAAAAGAACGTTGGCGCCAACAGCGCCTGGGTGCACGAGGAGGGCAGGGGAACGGCCACGGAATGACCCACGCCTCAGCGAGTCCCCTTCCGAACACCGAGCGGTCCTCGGGTCGACGCCCTGGGGCTGTGAGCGGGCCAGCAGCGCCGCCTCGCACGCCATCTTTGCGACGCCAGCCGCAGAGAAGGAGGAGGAGGAGGAGGACGAGGAGGAGGAGGAGGAGGAGGACGAGGAGGAGGACGAGGACGAGGAGGAGGAGAAAGAAGAGAAGACCCCGCCCCCCCCCCCAAGAAAAACTCTCCTCCGGAAAGGGCGGCTGCAGGCTGGACCAGCCCCGCCCAGAAAGCCCGAGGCGGGGCGGAGCCAGGACGGGCGCGCGCGGGGGCGGGGTGCGATCCAGGCACGATCAGGGAGGCAAAACGAGCAAGGAGGAGGAGGAGGGCGTGCAGCGGAATGCGCTGCGAACCACGCCGTGGCACGGTCGCCGTGCTGCTACCACGAGGGACGCAGAATGAGAAACGAAAGGCGCTTCTGCCCACGTCGGACCTAGTCCACAATCACGGTGCACTAGGTCGGGCCTGTCCCCCTGCAGGCCGATATTGGGCGAAACATTGTAAATAATGATAAATGCTAGAAACAATCACCTGTCTCTACTATGTTTGGAATATGTTTGGATCTTCCTCCTGTAGAAGGACAGGCCCGACTCAAACGCTGCACGACACGTCGTGAAGGAAAGGGCCCGGAAACCCGAGCCCCTCCCGAGCCCAAAACGGTCATTGTTGTTTTTGTTGTTCTGCATTGTTGTTGCACGATAAGAGGGGGGGGAGCGAAGGGAGGGAGGAAGCGAGCGCTGGCCATCGCTCAAACGTCCATCCCCTTTTTGTTGTCGGTTTCGTGCGTGGCTTTTTTTCTCGCAGGATGATCCAAGATGCTCCTTAAGAGTCCCCACCGAGAAGAAGTGCACACGTCCGAACGACACCAGGATGGGTGTGGGGGCGGTCGTGGGGGGCCCCGCGGGCTTTTTCGGGGGGCCCTGGTTTGGGTGCGCTGGCTCTTGGCGGGCTGGGGGGGGGCTGGAGGCCCGAGGGGAGAAGCATGCGGAGGAGGAGGAGAAGCAGCAGCAGCGACAGCTGACAGAGATGAGCTGAAGGAAGAAAAATTGTCGCTGGGGCGCTCGAAGTCCTGGAGAGAACGGGGAGCAGCATTGGATCGGCCGTCCGCGGAAGGGGCCCCGTTCAGGGGCCAGCGGCCAGGGGGGCGCGGCAAACATTGGCACTGCAGCCCACGGGGAGCAGGACGAGAAAGGAGGAAGGGGGGAAAAGGGAGGAGGGGGGCGGGCGGGCGCTGGACCTGGGGCGGGGAAGGGCGCACACAAACTTCTTTAAACCCTAAGCCCTCGAACCGAAACCCTAAGAACTCAGAGCTTATAAAGATTTAGATCCTGATCTGCGTGAGCCCCCCTAATGCGCCCCCTTGATGCGCCCCCCCATTTTGGTACACCCCTCACGCAGATCCTTGCCCTCGGAGTGCCGGGAATGGTGTTCTCGGAACGTTTGCAAATCGCAAGGCTGAGGATGCGATCTGGGGATCCGTCTCCTCAAGGCAACGAGTTACCCCGAGCGCCTTGCGCAGCCACTCTATGCAATCTCACCGCCGCTGGGCGGCGTCCCTGCGACGCACAGGGACTCGTGTAAATATACGCGTTTCTTCAAAAAGCGTCGTCGCGCGCGCAGGCCGCATCGCCGTTGCAGCGGCTTGCAAAAGACTTTGCGCGACTGTGTCGTCGTCGTTTTGAAATCAATATCGTCGTCTTCGTCATCGGCATCGTCGTCGTCGTTTTGAGGTCCATCTGTTTTGGGTCATGGGTGGTTGGGACACGTCCAACAGGCTTCAAGTGTGGGCTAGTGGACCCTAAACCGTAAGAGCGAAGAGCCTGTATATATTTTAAATCATAAAACGTCCACCGCGCTCCTTCCGCGTTCCCTTATGGCGCCCCCCATTTCAGCGCACCCTCACACAGGTCCTTGGCCTGTGAACGCCAAGAATGGCGTCCTGGAAGGATCTGCAATTCCCAGGGCGCACCCCTCACGCAGATCCTTGCCCGCACTATCCGAGCCGATGCATCGCCCGTGCATCCGCTGTCGCGCGCCGCGTCGCATTTCCTCCAAGGATGCAAACGTGGGAACCCATCTCGTGGAAGCAACGAACCGCCCCGCGCCTTTTACGTCAATGTGGTTTACGCATCGCCAAAGCATCGGCAACGTGCTCCAGGCTGCCGTTTTGTCGTTTCGCGCGGTCGCGTCGTATCGCCCATGCATCGGCGACTGTCGTCGTCGTCGTTTTCAGATCAATATCGTCGCCTTCGTCATCGGCATCGTCGTCGTCGTTTGAAAATCCATCTGTCTTGGGTCATGGGCGGGCGGGACACGTCCAACAGGCTTCAAGTGTGGGCTCGTGGGCCCAAACCCTAAAGCCTAAACCCTCAGAACTATGAACCTATAAAGATTCAAATCTCAAGATGCCCACCGTGGTCCTTATGCGTTCCCTCTATGCCGCCCCCCATTTCGGCGCACCTCTCACGCAGATCCTTGCCATCGGAGTGCCAGGAATGGTGTTTTGGGAGCTTTGGCAAATCGCAGGGCGCAACCCTCACGCAGGTCCTGGCCGTCGGAGCTGCGGGAAATGCGTTCTTGCATCGGCCTTCGCGCACCGTGCCGCACTGCAAAGGATGCGAACTGGGGATCCGTCTCCTCGAGGCAACGAGCTATCCCGCGCTCGTTGCGCAGCCACTCCATGCAATCTCACCGCCGCTGGGCGGCGTCCCTGCGACGCACAGGGACTCGTGTAAATATACGTGTTTCTTCAAATCGCGTCGTCGCGCGCGCGGGCCGCATCGCCGTTGCAGCGGCTTCGCAGAAGACTTTGCGCGACTGTCGTCGTCGTCGTTTTGAAATCAATATCGTCGTCTTCGTCATCGGTATCGTCGTCGTCGTTTTGAAATCCATATGTCTTGGGTCATGGGTGAGTGGGACACGTCCAACAGGCTTCAAGTGTGGGCTCGTGGGCCCTAAACCGTAAAGCTAAAACCCTAAACCTAGCAACTGCAGCGTGCGCGTGTCCGCGCGCGCAGAGCAGGAAGCATCGGCGGCTCGTCTCCAGCGTCAGTTTCGCGAAGCTCAGGCCGAACTTGTTCTCATAGCGGTCGACAATCCTGGGGATATCCGCGCGCCACCACGAGATCATGACTGGTTCGTGCCCTCTTGTCTGCCGCATAATCGTCATTCCCCATGTTCCTCTTGCTCTTCCTCCTCCTCCTCCTCCACCCCCTGTAGCTCCTGAACGTCGGCCCGAACGGTGCGAAGATAGCCCCCCGAGCTACTCGAGCCAAAGAACAACACAACAGAAACACAACAACACGGCCACGCCATGCTACCGCAATGTAGTGATGCAACCTAAGATGGAGATGCCAAGCCTGTCCGGGAAAGCGTGGCATAATTATTTTGGATGGCCGCCGAATAGCACAACATTGCGATGAGAACAAGATCACATCTTGGCGGGTAAATCACAATGTCAACGACGGTGGAATGCTTTCGGAATCCGGTGTAAGACAAGAAGCACCAGGACGATGTCTCCACGCAAGACTAACTGGCCGACCCAACATACTGAGCATGACCAGTTGACAGTACAATGCAGTTCCTCGCTTTGTCTACCCCTCATCAGCATCACCATCATCACCATTGTTGCCATCATCACCACCACCACCATCATGATCGTCGTCATTATCATCATCAGCAGCATCGCAAACATAATCAGCATCATCATCTACATCATCAGCATCATCATCACATCAGCAGCAAGAACATCATCATCAGCATCATCATTGTCATAATCATTATCATCATCGCCGTGATCATCCAACCGCCACAATAATCATCATCATCATCGCCATCATCATCATCATCATCAGCATCATCATCAACATCAGCACCATCGTCATCGCCATTTTCTTCATCATCACCATCATGATCGTCATCATCATCACCACCTCCTCCTCCATCATCACCACCATCAACAAGAACATCACCATCATCATCACCACCATCACCATCACCATCACCATGACCACCACCATCACCACCATCACCATCCACCATCACAATCATCATCACCAGTATCATCAGCATCGTCATCATCATCATCATCATCATCATCATCATCATCATCATCATCATCATCATCATCATCATCAGCATCATCTTCATCATCATCCCTCCACGTTCCAGCATCCATCTCTCCCTCGCTCCTCGCCTCCTTGTCCAAAGATACTGTCATATGTGCATCCTCCCTTTCCTCCTCCCTTTGCTCATCCTTCTCCTCCTCTTCCACCTCCTACTCCTCCTCCTCCTCCTCATCCTCCTCCTCATCCTCCTCCTCCTCATCCTCCCTCTTCTCCTCTCCTGCTCCTCCTCCTCCTCCTCCTCCTCCTCCTCTCCTCCTCCTCCTCCTCCTCCTCCTCCTCCTCTTCCGCCTCCTCCTCCTCTCCCTCCCTCGCCCCTTCCCTGAATATAAGCCCTCCTCGCCTGCCCGCTGAGCATGTTGGTGGTACGGCGGGCCGGGCGGGCGGGCCGCTCGCAAGCTTTCGGCGCCAAAGCCCCACCAGCCCTCCGGGCACAGGCGGTCTAACGATGTCCTGCGTTCCTCTTCCAGGGACCCCTCTTCCCCTTCGGGGAGGGGTTCGCCCCTCCCCCTCCCCCCCTCCCCTGGACCTGGACGGGAGGGGCCGCGATCCGTTGGAGGGTCCTTGTTCGGCCCCTGGGAGGGCCAATTTCTGACACCCATCACGTGGATCGTGGCCCCCGAGGGGGGGGGGGCCTCGATCGGGACCCTCCCTCCTTGGATCGATAGTCTCGAAGACGGCCCCATGCGCTCCGGGGCTCCCGGGAGCCCCAAGAGAGCCCCAAGAGGGCTCCGAGAGGGTCCCAAGAGGGCCCCAGGCGGCACCCGAGAGGCCCCCAAAGGTTCCCGAGCGGCCTCAGAGAGCCCAAGATGATCTCCAGGATGGCTCAGATAGCCCAAGCTGGCTCAAGATGGCTCCCAAGATGCTCCATGCGGCCCCAAGACCGCTCCAAGAGCGCCCAAGAGCGCTCCAAGAGAGCCCCAAGAAGCGGTTTGCCGGCTCCTGAGGGGAGAGCTGAGTTGGGGACCCCCCCCATCCTGTAATCTTAGCCTTCCAGGATTACCAAGAGGGCTCCAAGAGGGCCCCCAAAACTCCCAAAGAGCACCAGCAGCAGAAGCAGCAGCCGCAAGAATACCTCTAGATGGTTCCATGAGTCCTAGTCCTCGTCGTCCTCATCCTAGTCCTCGTCCTCCCCGTCCTCGTCCTCATCCGCGTCCTCGTCCTCCTCGTCCTCCTCCTCCTCCTCGTCCTCCTCGTCCTCGTCGTCCTCCTCGTCCTCCTCGTCCTCCTCCTCCTCCTCCTCCTTCTCCTCCTCCTCCTCCTCCTCCTCCTCATCCTCCTCCTCCTCCTCCTCATCATCCTCCTCCTGCTCCTGCTCCTGCTCCTGCTCCTGCTGCTCCTCCTCCTCCTCCTCCTCCTCCTCCTCCTCCTCCTCCTCCTCCTCCTCCTCCTGCTCCTCCTCCTCCTCCTCCTCCTCCTCCTCCTCCTCCTGCTCCTCCCCCTCCTCTCGCCCCCACACGGCACCGAGGGATGGCCCGAAGAGCCCTTACAAGGCCACCCCCATTGCTCGCTTTGTTTCCCTAGATGTGCCTATTCGTCCCTTTTCCCGTCAGCTCTGAAGGGCAGGATTTCTGAATGGGCTGGTGGGGATACTTTTTTAGTCAGCGGCCGCAGGCGAAGGCGCCGACGGCGTGTCCAGTCAGAGCGGGGCGCGCAAAGACGAAATGGGCCGAAGCCTCACGCGGCACCTCGGCGGCCAGGCCGGCGAGTGGAGGCAGGCTGCGACGACCAGGATAGCTGCACTGCCAGGGTGCACGCATGCAACGAGCTGGAAGGGCTGACTGCCAGGGTGGCCGACTGACAGGGCCTGCAAGCTGCTGATAAATTAGATGCAGGGCGGCATGCAACGAGCTGCAGAGGGCGGCAAACTACCAGGGTGGCCGGCTGCCAGGGTCTGCAAGCTGCAAGTGAATTGTGTGCCCGCATGCAACGAGCTGCATGGGGAGTCTGACTGCCAGGGTGGCCGGCGGCCAGGGAGTCTGACTGCCAGGGTGGCCAGCGGTCAGCGACTGCAAGCTGCGAGTGAATTGGATGCAAAGTGATCACCCCCAACGCTGAGAGGGTACCAGGGTGGCTGGAGCCAGGTGAACCGACCGCCACGAAACGAATTGGGTGCGGGTGAATTGGGTAGCAAAGCTGCGGCGCGGCCAAAATGGCGCGTGAAAGCACCGCGGTGTGACCAGCTGGTGGAGTTACACGAAGCGTGAAGAATTTGACATGCCGAGCACTGACGAGGATGAAGGGCGGGTGGATTTCGCGCGCAGCTCTCGTCTGCGCGCCGCGCACACTCGCCGCACAGGCTCAACCACAACAATTGCGGCGGTGGAAGGCGGTCCGTCTTCAAAACGGGCTCTCGCCTCTGCGCCGCGCACACTCGCCTCAAAAGCCTGCAGCAGCGACAGCTTGGTGTCTGTTCCATGGGAGCCTACGTGGCTCCCGGCGCTGCCCGAGTTGGGTTGGAGTTGGGCCAGATTTGGAGCACATTTGGGACCGGATTTGGACGGGATTCGCCCGCTCATAAGGGAGACGAAAAGAAGCACGAGGGGAAGGAGGAGCAGGGAGGGCGAGGAGGAGCAGGAGACAGGGCCAAATGCGGTCCAAATGCGGTCCAAAAGCTGATTTCAATGTCGCCTCCCGAGGCTCCCATCAACAGACATCGAACGACAGGGGAAGGATAGAGGCTCCGTCTCAACACGTGGGGCCCCTGCCCCCGGCGCCGCGCAAGTGAGCCTGCACAGCCTGCAACTTTTGCAGGGATGGGGGGCGGGTGGCTCTCGACATTGGGTGGAGGGCTGACGAACGAACAACACACATCCATACCCATGGGGGGGTCGCTGGGAGGAGGACTGGCTATGGGTATGGGTGCGGGTTGTCGGACCCTGGGGAACGCTCCCGTTCGACCAGGGACCCCCATCCGACAACACGCACCCATGGCCCTCTCCGACCCCCCTATGGGTATGGGTGTGTCTTCTTGGTTCGTCAAGGGCAGAGTGGACTTTCGAAAGGAGGCCTGGATGGCAGCGGTTTGAACAAAAAATGTTTTTTTTACTCAGGTGGCCGGCCGGGTGAACGTCGCCACACCATGTTAATATCACGATCAGCCGCGAAGGCCGGCTCCTATAGAGACGATGTTTGCTTCACGCTTGAGCAAGCAAACATCGAGATTTTTGCACAAACAGCATGTGGCAAAAAATCGGTGCGTGAAGCAACAAATAGATCAACAAAAACGCTTGTGGCAGCAGTTTGAACAGGATGGAGGGCGGGTGGTTTTCGGAATTGGGCCTGCAGGTCCCGCACCTGGCAATGGAAAGACAGCCAGGCCACCGGCACCGTCTGCAACGCCCCCTGGCCCATGGGCTGGAACGTCGCTGACATGTGCCGCACCTTTGTCGTCTTGCTTGCGGCTCTTGGTAACCAGACGAGCCAAGAGCGCCCGATGCCCTTCGCGAGCCTCACGAGCCAGATCACCCACCCCTGAAACACCGTCGGCAGGAGTTTTCGGACGCTTCTCGAACTCGAGCTGGTCCTCCCGAGAGACGCTGCGCTCCTCGCCAAACTGCCCCAGCAAGTCGCACTCAATGAATGAGTTGACGTCAACCTTACCGTCGGCCAAATCGGATCCACGCTGAGCCTGGCGACATCGCGCCCCGCGACGCGCTGGACCGTCCAAGATGGCCCACGACGGCTGCCAGAGCGCCTCGGGGAGTCTACGATGGCCTCCAAGATGGCCCCAAGATGCTTTGAGATGGCTCAGGATGGCTCCCAATATGCTCCAGGAAGCCTCAAGACCGCTCCCAGACATGTCCAAGTGGCCCGAGAGCCTCCCCGGGAGGCCGCCAAGAGGCCAGAATCCGTCCAACATCTAGGGAGAAAAACACAATGTGTTTTGTTGTTGCGCCGGTTCGCTTCCGATGGCCATCCGAGGCCTCACGATGGCTCCTAGAGCCAATGGAGCCTCCGAGGCCATCCGAGGTCCAAGGATGCCCCCCAGAGCGCCATAGAGCGCCCCAAGAGCGTCCCAATAGCGCCCCAAGAGGCGATTGTGTGGGCTCCCGAGGGGGGAGCCTAATTAACGCTCTCTCTTGGTTGATCGATGTCTTCCGAGATGGCTCCAAGAGCGCCCCTAAAGCTCCCAAGAGCGCTCAAGAGCGACAAAAGAGGTGCCCAAACGGCTCCAAGAGGCGCCCAAAGGGCCTCCAAAAGGCTCCCCGGAGACCCACAAGAGGCCTCAGGAGGATCCCCGAGGCACCCAAGACGCTCAAAGAAGGCCTTGGGCTCGCCAAGATGCCCCCCAGACGCCCCAAGAGGCCTCCTAAAAGCGTCCAAGCGACATCGGAGGAGACTCCGAAAGGCATTAAAGAAGCTTCTGGCTCTTCTGTTCACCCTTTTCCTCCTCCTCCTCCTCCTGCTCCTCCTCCTCCTCCTCCTCATCATCATCATCATCCCCCTCCGTCTCATCCTCCTCCTCCTCCTTCTCTTCCTCATCCGCTTACGCCTCCTCGTCCCTCCTGCCTCCCCCCCTCCCTCACCTCCTCCTCCTCCTCCTCCACCTCCTCTTCCTCCTCCTCTCCTAATCCTCCTCCTCCTCCTCCTCCTCCTCCTCCTCCTCCTCCTCGTCCTCCTCCTCCTCCTTTTGCACGTCTTCCTCCTCTTTCCTTCTCCTCGCCCTCCTCCTCCTCTTCCTCCTCCTCCTCCTCTTCCATTCCTTGTCCTTATAAATAACCTCTCCCCGTCCACCCCGAGGCAAGGTTTTAGGCCGGGCCGTGCGTTTCGCCTCAGACTTCCTCACCATGTATGACTCTGAAGCTTGAAAAGTTTGCAACTGTTTCAAGGGCGGGTGAATTTCAACATGTGGTTCTCGCCTTAGCGCCGCGCACATTCGTTCTAAAAGATGTAGGAGTTTCCCGGACTGAGGACGACCCGTTTTCAAAATGTGGCCCGCCTTAGCGCCGCGCACATTCGCAAAACCTTGCAAGAGTTTCACGTATTGAGGACAACCCGTTTTCAACATGTGGCTCTCGCCTTAGCGCCGCGCACATTCGCTCTAATAGATGTAAAGAGTTCCCCAGATTGAGGACAACCCGTTTTCAAAATGTGGCCCGCCTTAGCGCCGCGCACATTCGCAAAAGCTTGCAAGAGTTTCACGTATTGAGGACAACCCGTTTTCAACATGTGGCTCTCGCCTTAGCGCCGCGCACATTCGTTTAGAACATGTGCAAGAGCTTCACGGATTGAGGGCGGTTCCTTTTCAAATGTGGCCATCGCCTTAGCGCCGCGCACATTCTTTAATTAAACGTGCAAGGGTTTCACGGATTCCCGTGATCAGCGTTCGAGAAACTGCGTTTTGGAAAGATTCTGGATTTTGCGGGCGCGGCAATTACGGATTCGCGGTGTTGAAATCCCAAGAATGGCGTTCTGACACGATCCAGGATCGTCAAAACGCAACAGTCAGGTTGATCCGTGGCGGTGGAATCCCGAGAACAATGGTTTGGTATGCGTCAGGGTCTTCCAACGGTTGTCTTCCAACTTGGCAGTTCCCACAATGCTAATGAAACGCTGTAGGGGCCTATGAAGAGGGAGCTTGGAGGGAGGGTGGATTCCAACATCGTTGATGTCCCTCGGGTTTGCACTGGTCCTCCTCCTTCTCCTCCTCCTGCTACTCCTCCTGCGCGTCCTCCTCATCCTCCTCTTCCAGCTCCTCCTCCGATCCCTCCTCCTTCTTCCCCCTCTTGGGGTACGATGGTTCCTTCATCACTGTGTTCCTCTATATGCTCCGCCACGTCCTTGATCATGGCAACTCGTCTGGGCATCGTTTCTGGATGAGCTGGTGAGAATATGCGAAGCGTCAAGGATTAATGATAATACTACACAAGAGCTCACCGCAAACACCTCGATCAACGACTTGAACCAAGAGATATACAGACCCTCTCTTCCGTTCCTCATCCCGTCTCCTGATTCCTTCTTTTCCCCCATCCCTCCTCTCGTTGCTCCTTCTCCTCATCCTCCTGCTCGTCGTCCTCCTCCTCCTCCTCCCGACCCGCTCCCACGGACCGCGCCCGCGGGTCCTCATCAGGCGCAGGAGCACCAGCATGCGTACGAGGCGTAGGGCCCGGAACACAAACCACGCGCTGCGGGCGCGCCCGCGCCCGCAGCGAAGGGCGCGCGGGCCCCCCACTCGATTCCCCTCCTCCTCCTCCTCCTCCTCCTCCTCCTCCTCGTCCTCCTCCTCCTCCCCCCTCCTCCTCCCCCCTCCTCCCGTCTCCCTCCCTCCCTCCCTCCCTCCTCCCTCCCTCCCTCCCTCCCTCCTCCCTATCTCCCCCCCTCATTCCTTCTCCCTCCTCCCTCCTCTCCTCCTTCCTCCATCCTCCCTCACTCTGCCTACTCCCTCCCTCCTCCATCCCGATCGAGACCCTCCTCCCTTCCCCCTCCCTCCGAATGGATTCTCCCTCTTCCTCATCCACCTCCTCCTCCGACGACGACGACGACGACAACGACGACTCGACCATCACCTCCCTCCCTCTACCAACCGCCTCCGCCTCCGCCTCCGCCTCCACATGTTCCTCCTCCTCCTCCTCCTCCTCCTCCCAGGCTCTTGTCCAAAGACGGGGTAGACATTAACAAAGCTATGGCAGGAGAGGTGCTTCATGACAGGCAGTCGTGAAAACGTTCCTGCCTGTGCTGCCATCAAAACCGGCCCCAAAAGGGACCTGGTTGCAAGTGTTTCCGGCCCCGTAGGGGTCGCCCTGCCACCGACGTCGCCGGCGGCTAAGAATCTAGGGCTTCACGTGGCCACAGCTGCCCCCAGGCAACAAGCCTGGACGGACTTCAGCGGTATTTCCACTGCGCACCAGAAGCCTGAAATCAGGCCGAAAGGAATGCATTCCGAAGTCTCTATGCGAACAGTAAATGTACCCACGTCCAGTGCGTCTTGGAATTTTGGGCCCTCTTCCCCAGAAACCGGAGGCGCAGATTCTTATCCATATCCAGTGCGCCTCGGCCTCGCGGCACCCCTTCCCAAGGAGTCCAAGACGCTCCAGGTACAGTGCCGTTTTTAATACATGCTCCGCGTGCGGATCATGTATTAAAAATGCAGGGATCTAGTATCAAAAACAACGAGGAGTTCATGCATACATTTATTCATAAATTAGTCATGTATTAAAAATCCCATATTCTTAAAAAATCCAATGTATTAAAAACTGCCCTGTATGGATATGTGCTCGCAGTCTACTTCAGCCCGTGCCTAGCCAGCATTTCCACGAACTGAGATCGAGAAGGTCAAGGCGAATCATAACACTGATGCACTGGAGACCCGAGCAAGGTGTGCTGCCCAAGGCAGCGGCTGGACCGACGGGATCGCCGAAGCTGCTGCGGCCGAGATCCCAGGCCCATCTAACCAAGAGCTCGAGCCTCGAGGACAGCAGCAAGCTCATGCAGCGATTATGCTGCTGCTGAAGCTCTCCCCCTGGAGCCCCCCCCGCAAGGCCAGGAAGGTGGCTTTCGAGAAGCCCCAGCTGAGTAGGAGCCCACCTGTTGGAGCGGCGGGCGCAATCAAAGCTTGGCTTGCGCCACCCCTGCCTCCCGTGGGCCACTTCAAGCCCGCTAGTGCCCACAGAGGTCCCCACGCCATGAAGTTGTATGTTTGGAACGCCATTAAGTTGCATGTTTGGGGCTGGCTTAACGGTCTCTGGCTCTGGTGTGCCTGCACAAGCACGCTCGTATGCATAGCAAGCGCAAGTCCAGAGCCAAGGACCGATCAGGTCGCAGAGGAAGCACAACCTTTTGATGTGCGCTTATGTGTTAGTGGAGTCGTTCCTCGTGGCTTCCCGTGCCTGTGGACATTACACAGAGAACAACCTCAAAGTATCAGGAAGGAATGCCGCAGGGAGATCAGAAGCAAATTGACGCGCTGCTGTTGGGTGCGCCTGCAGACGGGACGCCGCCCCAATTAACCCGGCGAAGGACCCAATCATATGCAGTTGTGAGTACCGTCGTCGTGAGTATCGCCTTCGGTGGATCTTCGTATGGGGCCACAAGCGCGTGAAGGGTTTGCCGAATTTTGTCGGGGCCACCATGCGGGCGCTGCCACTGGAGCCTTCGAGCATCGCGAGGGAAATCATCTGCGGGGTGTTTGCGCGAGCAGTGACTGGAGGTGGTCAAGCGCGGTGCAGGGTAGTCAATTGGATCACATATATTCCACCACATATAATGCACATCAAAAGTTGCCCCACATAGATTGCATCACATGGGTTCTCCTTTCTAAAAACAGCTCTCCACCCCACCCGGGGTTATCAGTACCATTTTCCGTATTGCAATTTACATATGAGTCCATACCATCCCAACCCAACTGGTATCGACCCCCCCCCGGCATCCTCTGCAACAAATATGCGCACACATTCGCATATCACAAATCGTTTTCAATTCGCTGCAACAACGACCATGACGATGTGCGCACGCGCGCGTCGTCGCGCGCGCATGCCGGAATCCTTCAAAAAAACCGGCGTCGGAAGGATTGCAGAATCGAGAATCCATAAAACATTTTTATAATTGAAAAAATAGCTACGCAACATGGATTTTCAAAAAACGAAAAAATCGCGCGCGTGTGTGCGAATCCTTAAAAAAAACATCGGCTTTGCAACATGTTCAAAATGTATTACCGAACGGGCTTCGCGCGCACGCATGGCGAGACCGTTCGAACGCCCGTGCGCGCGTGCCGTCGCGACTACCGTTTGCCAGCCAAAAATGCGACGAAGTGCACACGCGCTCGTCGCCGCGCGCATGCCGAAATCCTTTGAACAAAACCGAATGTCAAAAAAAACACACACGAAAACACTTGGCTTCGCAACATCAGTTTGTTCAACCAAAAATTGCGCGCGCATTCTTGCGAACTGTCGAGAAAACCAGAAGTCTTTCTACAATTTCATATAATGCTACCAAAAGGGTCTCTGGCGCCATATGCGGACATGATTCGCACGCCCTTGCGCGCACGCGGGGGGGGGGGCACGATCCGTGTCACATAGAACCATGCGGCCCACCATCGCGCGTAGGCCGCGCGAACATGTCGAACTCTTTCCAAAACCCTCATCACCGAAGCGAGGACGCCGTCATCCTCGCCGGCGTGATCAACATCGGCGCACGAACTGGCCGCGCCTTCGTCGGTGCGAACATCGTCACCAGTATCGCCACTAACATCATCATGCTGTCGACGTTGCCATGATTACCGCGCCCGCCCAAGTCGCCGACTCGCAGTGAAGTGCCCGCTGGGATGCGCCCAGCGGTCAGCGCCACCGCGGCCGCGTCGGTGGCGCCAAACTAGCTGGCCGCTGCGCACGCGAGCTAGGGTTGGCGCGGCAGCAGAGATGCACCAGCCAACGCCAAGCATGCATTGCAATCGCCACCGAAGGGTTTTGCAAACCAAGTTGCGGGTGGGTGGGACGTTTGCAAGAGCATGGGATGTGTCAACTCGTTTGTTAAAAAATTGCACCGCAGAGGTTGCACCACGTAGATTGCACCAACTACATTGCACCACGCAGATTGCACCGCATAGACTGCTAGACAAACCCTGGTTGGGGTCCCCGCTGGCCAACAGATCTATACCAGATTGGAGGTGTAGTGGTTCAACGGGCGAAGGGCGGTTCCTTTCAAAATGGTGATCTGGCCCCAGCGTCGGGCGTTGTCGTCTTTCTGAAATTGCAGCTACAAACATGACAGGCGATCCTTTGCAACATGGTGGTACCTTAGCGTCACGCAAGTCCGTATCAAAAGTTTGCAAGAGCTTCCAGGATGGAGGGCGGTTCCTCCTCAGAATGTAGATCCCGCTTGGAACTTGATCGAGCGACCAGAAAGGTTGAACATATGTGACGACAGCACGAATGGAGAGCGGTTCATAATGGGGCTCTCGCATTGAATTCACCGCGAACTGAGCAAGCAGAAGTGTAGAATGGTGCACTCATCCTTCCTCCTCCTCCTCCTCCTCCTCCTCCTCCTGAAGAGCAAGCCTGTTGGGTGCTCGTCTCTCAAGGGGGCGTCTCTTGCGGTGAAGAAAAGAACCGCCTGACGGAACGTATGCGAAGGATTGAGAAGGAGATTTAAGATGGAAGGGTACATTGCAGCATCGCTGGTGCCTCCTAGGTTTACTCTGTTCATCCTCCTTCTCCTCCCTCCTCCTCCCTTCTCCTCCACCTCCCTCCTCCCTGCTTCTTCTCCTCCCAGCTCCTCCCCCACCCTCCCTCATAGTCCAAATCTCTCTGACGCTCTCTTGCCAGGGGCCCACGTGACCGCAGCCTGCGGTAATGGCGCACCCCGGAGCGCATCACAAGTGCGAGGCCCCCTTTTCTTCGAATGACCCGCGATGACGCACCCGCCAGTGTGCCTCTGCCCGGCGATGCATGGAACTTCGAGGGCTGCCTGGCATGCAGATAACCGACGGTGCTGTCCTCTGCCGGCTTTCGCTCGTGCCGTGGGGGAAGGAAGAAGATAACCCGCCCTGTCCAGGCACAGGGCTAAACCTAAACGGTGTGTGTTTCGTTTACGTCTTGTTCTCGTTTCCCCTCGTGTTGTCTTCAATCCGACTTTGACGCAAAACAAGATCGAAACGAAAACGGCCCACGAAATCGCCAAAGACACCGTTGAGGTCCAGCCCTGGCCAGGCGAATGACGGCAGCACGCAGGCTCGGACCCCCGGCTGGCGCCACGCAGGCAGGGCAGGCCACGCTGGCCCGCAGGCGAAATCGTGCTGCAGGGCCTCCCCTCCTCCTCCTCCTCCTCCTCTTCCTCCTCCTCCTCCTCCTCCTACTCCTCCTCCTCCTCCTCCTCCTCCGTGCGACGATCGGTGTTTGGCCCGCCGCCGTCTCGCTCTCGCGGCGCCTGGCGGCCAGAGGAGTTCTTCCCGCCTCGGGCATGCGATGGGTGGCCGTGAATGTGCGCATCTCTTCGCGTGATCGGGGGCTCGGCGCACGGAAGCAGCCAAGGACCGCCCGCCTCCCTGTCTCCTCGCGTGTGCCTCTCCTCGTTCTGCCCTCGCTGCACAGTTCTCGAACTGCGCTGCACTGTCTGACCTTGAACTGCGACAGGGAACAGTGTTTGCCCGCAACCTTGTCGCCCGAGCCGATGCAACGTCAGGGCATCAGCGCATGCTGTGTTTGGCGTGCTGAGTACCGATCTGCAACCTGACCAGCCAGCGGTTGAATCAGATACGCAATCCACCAACAAAAACATATTCATGTAGAATCTATCGCACTCCTCCTCCACCCGCCCCCTCGGCCAAGAACTCCACACCCTGGAGGAATCAGCGTGCCAGAAGTCCGGGTGGAGGCGTCCTGGGTTTGGACGCCGAAATGGGCACGGGAAAAATGGGTACAATGCCCAACAACAAACGTTGTCCCAAACCAACAGCGGCCGCTGTTGGGCAGGCGGCCTTCTGTCTCACATGGACACAGGCCGCGGCGGCGCGGACAGCGAGCCCTGTTCAAAATGAAGAGGAACTGCTGTTGGGCATCGTGCCCATTCTTTCCGTGCCCATCTCGTTCGTGCAGATCCTGGGGCCTCTTGGCCGGGGCCTCTTTTAGCGGCGCGCACAAGGGGGTGGGGGGAGGGGGGAGGGCTTCTTAGAAGGAGGCTGCTTCCTAGAAGGCGCCGGCCTTACATCTGTAGAGAAGGCCCGCGCCTTCTAAGAAGCAGGGGTGCTTCTAAGAAGCCCTCCCCCCTCCCCCCACTCCCCTCTGCGCGTGGCTGACTCCTGCAAAGGAACCGTTTCCCAGCGGGCCCGTCGGCCGACGCGAGCGCTGCCCCTCGGCGGCCCCCCGGCACGGCGGCACGGGAGAGCGAGGCGGGGAGGCCGAGGGCCAAGGCCACACAACCCGCGCGTCCTGCTCTTGGGCGCTGCCGCGCGCGCCGACCTCGAGGTCCTCCATGGCTGTGGCTGCCCTTGACGTGCCGTCGCTCGGACGTCCACTTCCCGTGCATGCTTCGGTGTCGTGCGTGTTTTGTTCTGCTCGATGGTCCGGGATGGTCCTCCTCGATGGTTCTCGCCGAGAACACATGCACACGTCCGAGCGATGCCAAGTTGAAGGCGCCTAGCGCCCACCACCGACTGCTGCTGTCCTCGCCGCGGCCCCAGAGATCCTCACTCTCAGGTGCGCTTGGCACGCCAGATCAGGTGCGGATTGTTCTCATCCCAATGCAGCTTGGCCGCAACTCAAATGGGCTACTGCTTGAGCCATTGCGTTTACGTGTTCGGAGGCATGGAGGGCGAGCACCAGCCAATCACCGCAACACACAATCTGGCGGTCAAGGTCCGATTCGACACTGGGCTCGGCGAGTCGAAGAGGAGCTCAACGCAGTGAGAATGGGCCGGCAGAGGGGCAGAAGGTAAGACGTGGGGCGAACGCCACTAGCTTTAAGTCGGGACTGTCCATCTACAGGAGGAATATTCAAAAATAGTCGAACAATAATACGTGGGGACGATTGTTTGACTATTTTCTAATATTTGTGGAGTTCGGTTTTGAGTATCTTAGATTCTTCACCCAAGACTCCCCCTGTAGGGGGACATGCCCAACCTTAACACTAGCTCTGCAGCTCCCTTCGCCCCCTCCCCTGCCCAGGTGGACCCGCAGCAAGTTCCAGGGATGGCAATCCCTGCTGGCCCTGTTTTCCACCACCACCACCACCAGAAGTTGGAGGGGGGGAAGAGGAGGAGAACGAGGAGGAGGACGGAGAGAAGGAGGGGGAGGAGGAGGAGGAGGAGGAGGAGAAGGAGGACGAGGAGGAGGAGGGGGACGAGGACCCCCCCCTCCAACTTATGCTGGTGGTGGAAAACAAGCCCATGAATCCCGGCTCCCTGGCAGCGCCTCACGATGTCTCTATACTCCGACCTCGTGTTGGCCCAGATGAGAAGACAGTCGACGGGGAAGATGCCGACAATGTCCACGAGGAACCAGCCGGTCAAGTAACTGCGACGGCGGCGGGGAGAGCAGGAGCGGCACCCCTGAGAGGACGCTGTCTTAATGCCGACCACCGCGCTGGCTCTCACTCCAGGCCCCAGCGCTGCCTCCGGAGACCTGAGCCAACAGAGCCAGGGGAGGGCCCGAAGCAGGGGCCAAGTGGGGAAACCAGAAGGTACCGATACCGCTACTCCCTGGACCTCTCCCGGGGCGCGTCCTGACTAGGATTTCGAGGCGAATCCAGCGGTGGCGACGAGGGCCGCCGAGGAGGCCCGAAAAGGGGAAAACGGTAGAAGGGTTGAGGTATGGGTAGCTTTTCCTCCTCTGACCAAGGGGCGCAGGAGAGGGACGCCACGACGAGACGAAGGGCGAGGAGGGGCAGCGCCCACGGAGGCGTGGGGGGTGGGGGCAGCAGGGCCGCTGTCCTCGGAGGAGGGCCGGGCGAGATAACGGCGGCCCTCCCTGCCGCGTGTGTGTTTCCCCCTTTTGGGGGTCTCGTCGCCACGGCTGGATGCGCCGCGGAAAGCAAAGGGCAGAAAATCCACCCCCAGAATGATGACCCCGACGAGCGAAGCAGTTTAGTAGACGCACCCACAGAGGGAATCGAACGGGGCGGGGCTGTTTAGTAAACGCCCAGGGCCGTTCAGCAAACGCCAATTATGAAGGGGCCCCAGGACACATAAATAAATACACACAAATACAAGGATTCCCCGTATTTTCTCGTATTTGCTGGGTTTTTGTCTTCCCCCCCACTTCCCATATTTTCCCATATTTTCTGGGGAATCGACATTTAATTGTGTCTGTGTGTTTTTTCCCTTCCTGAAATTATCGGGGCTGGGCGGTTTTTCCTCCCTTGATGTTTGGCCTCGTCGCCACGGCCGTCTTGAGCAGAATATTAGGCTAGGTGCGAGAGCCGCCGTGGTCTCGCCTGGCCCTCCTGAGGTGGTCGGAAGCAAGAATCTGCCCGGAGGCGAAGTGACCCATCCCTCCCTTTCCCTATGAACAACTACAGCCGGGGCGTTGACCTAAGGAATCCTAAATAAGGAACGAGGCCCCTTTTCTCCATAGGTTAAACTTCGATTTCCTATCGAAAACATAAGGAAAACCTGAGGCAAGCTGTGGAACACTTAAGGAACGCGGAGCCCCTCCCCAACGAAAAGGGTTCCTTCTTCAAGGCCCCGAGTGTACCTATCGCACTGCGAGACGCGTCTGTAGGGCGGGCCAGGCGTTTCACACGAGATGTGCTCAACACTTATCCGCCACCGTGCCTCGAGGCACGAGGTGGAGTTACCCCCAGGCTCTCATGTGTTCTCTATCCTGAGTACTCAGGACTAAGGGATTCTAATATTCTACGGGCTGGGCTGGGGACCCAGAATCTCAGATTTCCTGGGCGCTCCCGCGCGCTCCTGGGCTGCCTCACGTGACTTTTCCAGAAGCCAGGGGGCGCCAAGACGGGCCCAGAGGGGCCCAAGAAGCGCCCAAGAGACATGAAAAAGACAGCCCAAGAGCGCCCCAGGACGCCCAAGATGGTCCCAAGACGTCCCAAGGGGCCTCAAAGAAGCACCACCACGAGCACCCCAAGAGGATCCCCAAGAGGGCCCAAAGAAGCAAATCATCGATTTCCAATGTGTTGTTGTGTTTGATGTGTTCCACGTTATCGCCTTTGCGAGCTTCCGACGCTCAAAGACGGCCCCAAGGGCCCCAAAGTCCGCCCACGATGTCCCAAGGAGGGTCCCAAGACGGCCCAAGAGGTGCCCAAGATCGTCCAAGAGGGCTGCAAGACGGCCCCAAGAGTGGCTCAAGAGGGGGGACACGAACCGACAAATCCCTTCTGCCCCAAGAGGCCACCCGGGAAACCCCAAGAGGCCGCCAAGAGAGCCGCAGAGGCCCCGTAGAGGCCCCATGAGGTCCCCAAGAGGCCCCCCTAAGAGGTCTCGAAACTGCCTCCCAGAGGCCCCCGAGAGGCCTCCCACGGTGTCCAAACGAACAGCCAAGAGGCCTCTAACCCACAACCCCAGCACGGTGGCGAGATGGGCCGAAAGCCACTAGATCCGCCGCCCCCTGCTTGCAGGGGTGCACGGCGTGCTGGATGTTTCAGGTTTTGGTTTTGGTTCTTTTTCTAAAAGAACTCCCCAGTGGGCTTCGGCCCGTCCCGCCGGCCACCCGGAAAGGATGCCCAGGAGCTCAATTCCCCAATTTCCTGCCCCAGACGGTTCCAAGATGGCCTCCAAGATGCCTCTAAGACGGCCAGGATGGTCTCTAAGACGGCTAAGATGGCTCCAAGATGCCTCCAAGACGGCCCAAGATGCCCTCCAAGACGGCCAAGATGGCCCCAAGATGCCTCCAAGATGGCCCAAGAGGCCTCCAAGACGTTCTCCAGGAGAGCCCGAAGAGGCCAAAATCATTGGTTTTCCTTAGGTTTTTGAAGGTTTTTTGCGTTTTCTTCTTTTCGGCCTTCCGACGGCCCAAGAGGCCCCCAAGATCGCCCAAGAGGCCTCCAAGAAGGCCCTATGACGGCCCAAGGGCCCCCCAAGACGGCCCCAAGAGCGCCCCAAGACGGCCCAAGAGGCCTCCAAGACGCCCAACATGGCCTCCAAGACGGCCCTGAAGCGCCCCAAGAGGGCCCCAAGACGGCCCAGAGAGGCCCCCAAGACGGCTCCAGACGGCGTCAGACGGACCAGGAACGCCCTAAGACGGCCAAAGAGACCCCCAGGAAGCCCCCAAAGGCCCCCAAGAGGCCCAAGGAGGCCCCCAAGATGCCTCCAAGAGGCCTCGAAGAGGCCCCCAAGAAGCCCCCAACAGACCCCAAGGGTGCCCCAAGAGACTCCTAACAACCCTCATCCTCCTACTCTATTTCTTCCTCTTCCTCTTCCTGTTCATAATCATTCTCTCCCATGTGTTCCCCGAAAGCTTTCCAAACCGACTCGGGGAACTCATGGTCCGATAGCTTGGCCAAGCTCTAGTCCAACTTTCGGCCACATCGGCGTTTCCAAAAAGGCAGGGGGCGGCGGTGATTCGCCGTAGGCGTCTTCGATCCGCCGCCCCCTGCTTGCAGGGGTGCACGGCGTGCTGGACGAGTCAGGTTTTGGTTTTGGTTCTTTTTCTAAAAGAACTCCCCAGTGGGCTTCGGCCCGTCCCGCCGGCCACCCGCAAATTTCCGAAAATCCGTCTGTCAATGCCCAAAAACGGCCGTTTCGCTCGGGACATCCTCAAAAAATCGCGAAGATGGCCCAAGATGGCCTCCAAGTCCGCCCGAGATGGTCCAAGACGGCCTCCAAAACGGCCCAAGAGAGTCCAAGACGGCCCAAGACGGCCCAAGAGGCCCCCCAGAGGCCTCCCAGACGGCCCAAGAGGCCTCCAAGAGGTCCTCCAGGAGAGTCCGAAGAGGCCAAAATCATTGATTTTCCCTTGGTTTTTGAAGGATTTTGGCATTTGCGCCTTTTCGGCTCTCCGACGGCTCAAGACGGCCCAAGAAGCCCCCAAGATCGCCCAAGAGGCCCCCAAGAGAGCCCCATGATGGCCCAAGTGGCCTCCAAGATGGCCCCTCGAGGGCCCCAAGAGGGCCCAAGAGGCCTCCAACACGCCCAAGATGGCCTCCAAGACGCCCAAGATGGCCTCCAAGACGGCCCTGGAGCATTCCAAGCGGGCCCCAAGTCGGCCCATAGAGGCCCCCCAAACGGCTTCCGACGGCTTCAGACGTGCCAGGAACCCACCAAGATGGCCGAAGTTGGCTCGAAGCTGGCCCGAGACGGCCCAAAAAGCCCCAAAGATCGCCCAAAGCTTGCCCAAGAGGCCTCCAAGACGGCCAAGATGACCTTCAAGATGCCCACGTGTTCCCCGAAGGCTTTCCAAACCGATTCGGGGAACACGTGGTCCGATAGCTTGGCAGGTCTGGCCTCAACGTTCGGCCACATAGGCGCTTCCAAAAAGGCAGGGGGCGGCGGTGATTCGCCGTAGGCGTCTTCGATCCGCCGCCCCCTGTCGATTCATCGCAGGGGTGCCTGGCGTGCTGAATCCTCTCGGTTTCGGTTTTGGTTCTTTTTCCAAAAGAACTCCCCCTGGGGCTCCTGCCCGTCCCGCCAGGGTCCCGGGAGATTCCCGGAAATCCATCTGTCAATGCCTTTGTTGCCCCAAGTTGGCCCAAGATGGCCTCCAACACGGCCAAGATGGCCGAGGATGGCCTAGAGCCTTCCAAGACGTCCTCCAGGAAGGCCAGAAAGGCAAACAATATAGATGGTCCTTAGGTTTTTGACGGATTTTGACATGTGCTTCTTTTCTGCCTTCCGACGGCCCGAGACGGCCCGAGAGCCTCCCAAGATCGCTCCAAGATCGCCCAAGAGGCCTCCAAGATGGCCCCAGAACGGCCCAAGGGGTCCCCAAGACGGCCCCAAGAGGGCCCGAAGACTGCCCAAGAGGCCTCCAAGACGCCCAAGATGGCCTCTAAGACGGCCCCGAAGCGCCCCAAGAGGGCCCCAAGTCGGCCCAGAGAGGCCCCCAAGACGGCTCCCGACGGCATCAAACGTGCCAGGAACCCACCAAGATGGCCGAAGTTGGCTGGAAGCTGGCCAAAGACGGCCCAAGAGGCCTCCAAGAGGCCTCCAGGAAGGCCAGAAAGGCAAAACAAAAAAAATAGATGTTCCTTAGATTTTTGACGGATTTTGACATGTGCTTCTTTTCGGCCTTCCGACGGCCCGAGACGGCCCAAGAGCCCCCAAAAAATCGCCCAAAGATCGCCCAAGAGGCCTCCAAGATTTCCCCAGAACGGCCCAAGGGGTCCCCAAGACGGCCCAGGAGGCCTTTAAGACGCCCAAGATGGCTTCCAAGACGGCCCTGGCGCATTCCAAGAGGGCCCCAAGTCGGCCCAGAGAGACCCCCCAAACGGCGTCCGACGGCTTCAGACGGGCCAGGAGCCCACCAAGACGGCCGAAGATGGCCTTAAGATGGCCCAGGAGGCCTCCAAGAGGGCCTCCAGGAAGGCCCGAAAAGGCAACAATCATTGATTTCCCCAG